CTTCAGGCTGCCCTGACCTGGCCCAAACACTCTCCAAGCTCAGAGCAGGTTTCACACCTTGCCTTTGCCCCAGGGTGACCAGGGCAGCTCAGCAGCTCCATGCCTGCAGTGTCACATCTGGGCTGGCCTCCTGCCAACCATGGGGACATTCTCTTTAGCCCTTCTGCCTGTCCCTCTCACACAGAGGCTTTTGCAGACAGCAAGAATGCAAGCAAAATGATGGACCTGCATTTATTTACCTTCGGCTTTTAATGGAAGGAGGACAGGATGCTTTATGGCCACAGAGCAAGAGATTAATAGATTGCCATTACTGGAGGCTGTCAGTCAATAGGGCTGTCACCAAGAAGTGATTCCAGTGTTACTACACCAATTTGAGAACACATTTTCCTGCCAGGCAACCAGGCAGTCTTAAACAGAAGGAATTTTGCTGCTGTGGCACTTGGTAAACTGTTTGAATGGTCACGTACCACCAGCTGGTAGAAATACCTTTCTTCCACTGAATTTAACCTGCATTAACTCCAACTGGTTGCAACACATGCTCTCAGAAGCTAGAAATATTTACTTTTTTATGAGCTACACCTCATCAGTGCTGTTATTTGTATTTTACAGGGAATCTGAGGCAGAGAGCTTAAAAGCCTGAGATGTCTAAAGTTTAGGATTGCAGTTTACATATATATATATATATATATATATATATATATATATATCTAAACTGTGCTTTTCCTGACTTCCTGACTCCTGGTCACTGACTTTGGAGCAGCCAGAGCTTTTGTACCTGAGGATGAGGGAAGGCCCTTTGTGAGCTGTGAAAGCAGCACAGCCTGGCGTTTCAGGGGAATTTGAATACTGGTTTCTCAATACTAAAAGGCAGAGTAGTGCTTGAGGGCATAAGACAAAGCTGGCAACCACAGTAGCCTTAAGAACAGTGCATCTCAATGAAGAAAATGCCTGAAAGGAACCTCAAACATCAGGCAGTCCTTTGGCACTGTGACCTGGGTTAAAAAAGGATAGAAAATGCAGTCCTCCACCAATGAAACATATACTGTCATTGCAGAATTAGTCATGTGGTGTCCCTTACCCTCCTTGTCTGAGCCACAGGAGTCTCCAACTCCAGTGTGGGTGTGCTTTGGTACCCAGCAAGCTGGCATGACTTGGGGGTATGGATTAGAGCCTGGATTCTCCTTTTTGGGGGCAGGTAACACGCCAATAGCACAGTCACTACCCAGCATCAGCCATCCTCCAGAGCCTTCATGCAATTAAGTTCCCCACCCAAAAGGCCAGACAAGCTGTCCTGGATTTAAAAAGGAATAATTATACAACAACTGCTGGTTACAGTGGTAAAAATAATGAGCTATGCCTCAGAAGTCCTAACAAAATCCATGGACGAGTAAAATGACACTAAAGCTCTGACCTGAACAAAGCTTTGGCACGTGGCTCTGATGCCAGCTAACATGTGCCAGGGGCTGGTATTTACACTCTAATCAAAATAAAGCTGAAAACCAAGGGAAAACTTCAAATTCTGGGGGACAGCAAAACTGCTGGATTGTGGGCATTTCAGTAACAAATCCCTTTGCTCCGTATATTCCCTGCTAATTTGTCAGCATCTGATGCCTCTCTCTTTAGTCTGGAGCTAAGAAAAGCTATCAAAAAATATAGTTTAGGGCCCATTCTGTCTGCTGTATCACTTGCTATTTTTGCCAGCCCACTGAAGCCAGACTGCAAAGGGCAAATTTGTCAACATGGGTGGGCTTTTTTAGTGTGAAGCCCAAGGGCTCCTACAGACAGCAGCAAAGACTATCTGCAGCCACGTCTGGAAGTTCAGGCTCTGATTTCAGGCTGCTTCAAATATAGAAATTCCAGCAAAGTTAACTGTAGCTGCATTATGGAGAGGTGACAGCAGCGAGTCCTTAGAAAGCTGGAGAAGATCTAAATCTGCCTCAGTCGTGTTCCCTTTGGAGTTAGGCAAGTCCACTGGGAGCAGAGGCTATTACCCAGGCTGATACTGGGTAAAAACCCTACTGGGAAATTTGGCCAGTGAGATTTGATTTTGTTGACCACACAGCAGCAGCATTCGTTGACAAATAAGGACAAAGCTCTTAAGCAAACCCACTTTTTCTCCACATGTTGAGAACTGTGCAACACCACCCTGCTGTATCAACTGGTCTCTGCATTTAAAAGCTGCCTAATTCTGCTCACAGCTGAGAACTTGCCTTACAGCTCCATAGTGTGGGTTGGTTATTACGGGGAAGCGCTTAATTACAATAAAATGTGTAGTTAAAGTGACAATTTATTTACTCAGGGTTATGAATATAAATTGGTTTTTCTTACCCATGCATTTTAAAATGGGGGGAGGTAAGAGGCTGGGATCCCAGGAGTTTCTTTAGGCTGGGTGATTTTCTGCAAGCAGCTGTAGGGACCAATGTGGAAGTGAAGCCTGTGAACCAGTTTGCTGCCTCGAGGCCACAGCACACAGCTCCCACCTGTTGCAAGTAATGTGAATTTTGCTTAAGAAGTGTCTGGAAATGGGTCCCTTTAACTACAGCAGAACTTCATAACCTGCAATGAACCAACACTGAGCTGAAAAACAAATCCCCGTTAGTGAACACTGGAAGAGATAAAGAAAATGCTGGGTCCTCTTCTCCCAGTATTTTCCATGTTTTATAACACCTCTGTCAGTATAAATTTCCATTCACTGAAGAAATTACACTTCATGAGCACTACAATAGGATTTTAAGATAAATGACATGCGAGCACTGCAGTTTTGTGCAGGCTTAAGTGATCCAAGTATCTTAATCACGTGCGCAGTATCAAAAAAAAATTGACTTGTTCCAAGAGTCACACGAGAAAGATTGAGTGTCATATGAGGCTGCAAAGCATAAACTACCTCAGCTAAAATTTATTTTAGCACAGGAGAGTTTTTTAACTGTTAAGTATAATTATTTAAAAGCAGTCTGAGCTGTGCAGCTCTAATGATAAGTGAAAATAAAAATCAGTTCCTGAAAGCATTGCTGGTAAGGGCACTTCTTGCAAGCACTGCCCGCTCTTAGCACTCACTGCCTTTATTCACCACTGTCAGAATCCGTGGTATTGATGATCCCAAGATTGTAAAAAGTCTCTGTCTTTCTGCCCCGTTTCCAAAGAAGTCATAATTGGTCTGTGCTGGTTTCCAGGTTGTTTATTCTGTTTATCTCTAACATGTTCTGCTGCCCTGCCCAGCTCTGTCCTGCAGGGCAGCGTGTGGGGCTCTGCCCTCAGTGGGATGTGACAAACATTAAATACCAGAAACTCCCTGGGCTGCATTTACAATAACGTGCCAATATCTGTCACCTACGTTGGACAGTGTGTCCCCAGCCTAAACCAACAGGAAAATGCCAACACTGCAGTGAAACATGGAGGGCATGGAGAAGGAGAAAAAGGACAAGACACACCCAATTTCCTCCATCTTGTCCCCTTTGAACCCCTAATCTAGAATCCTAAAATTTTACTTTTGCACCCGTGCCACACTTAATTATTACTCATATCAAACACTCAGAGCTGGTAATTCATCCTGTAAGATTGAAAATTCTTTTCCATGGACAGAGATCACAGCCAGTGTCTCTGGGAGCTCTGTCCAGGGGGGTTCCTGACCCCTGCCAGTGTCCCAGACCTGCCAGGGCAGCCAGAGGGAAGCTCTGGATTCCCACACACCACTATTTCCAAAATTCTTGGAAGGCTGATGAAGTTTTTAAGTGTCATCTTGTCAAGGCTGAAACATTTTCTTCAGTGACAATACTAACTCCTGAGTTTTTGTGTTGCATGAAAATGTTTTAGCTTTTTGGGTAAACACCGCAAACAAGACCGGAGGGAGTTCAATAAATGGAATTTCAGGTTGTCATAAACCCCTGGGCAAAAATCCCCGGGGGTGCAGCTCTGGTGGGTGGGTGGCTCTGCCTGTGCCACGCAGCAGGAGCTGCCCTGCTGCAGGAAGGCCGGGCTGTGCCCGTCCCACCGGGTGGCTTTAGGACAACATCCGAAAGGAGCTGGTCGCGTTTCCTCAAAAGCGACGACAGCCGCGTGACAAACGCGCTCGGGGTCCTGCCTGCAGAGCAGCCATCCAGGTGCTGGGGAATGGAGCTTTTCATAGCACGGCTGGATTAAAAATAGGAGCAGCTCTGAGCCCGGGCAGGGACGCAGCCCAAGCCATCCTGTGTTACTCACCCCGCCTGCTCCCGAAGGCTGATGTTTTCTTGGATCGAGCTAAATGCCTCGTCGTGGGGATGCTGGTACACTGAAACACCAGGTCGTATTTTATCACCCCACTTATTTCTCCATACTTCAGCCACGTGGTAGCTGTTTAACAACTTATTCTCCAAATGAAATAAGCAGAAATATTGACCCATCATTTGCTTTCAAATGAAATAAGCAGCTTTATAGGAAATATTGAACCATTATTTGTCATTTCTCTTAAGGCTCCAAATGCATCCTGAGCTGCTGCAGCTCACAGCCAGGACATTTACTTCTCCTTTGACAACTGTTTTCCATTCTCTTTTGCATCTTGCCTGGTCTTCGCAGTGATTTTTTGCCACAAGCAGGTGACAAACATTTTGGTGGCAAAAATTTTGGTGACAAATGTCACCTCACTGTGTGCAGATTAAGAAGCAACAAACCCAAACCCTACTTGTGTGTTCCTGAATAAATAGTGATCACCCCTGACCCATCCCTGTGACAGACACATCTCATTTTCTGGTCTTGGTTTCACCAGCTGTGTATCAATATCCACCTTGCTTTTTCTGTGCCACAGAACCAGCTCAGAACTAGATCTTTGCAGGCTTTTGCTTTAAAAATTATTTTCTTGAGCCTTTTATATAGTTTTACTAATTGCACTGCCCTTCAGTGCATGTGTTAGCAGTAACTTTTCCCCCCAAGAGTATCGTGTTTAAAGTCACAACCACTGTGTTCCTGCCAATGTATTCCTCTTAACTTACAGGAAACTTATGAATGAGGTATGATACCATGAATGATACTATTAATCACTTTATTGCAACTGCACCCTGGAATCCCATTCACTGTCGAGACCTTGTTACGCAAGTGCTGTACGTATATAAAAACAGTCTCCAGCTTCAAAGTGCTTACAAGCCTTTGTAAAAGCCTCCTGAAGTTTTCTGTGAACTTGTTACTGTAAGAAGAAGAAAAAAAAATTACATATTTCTTCTTGGAACAAAACGCTTTTCAAACTTTTAGAAGAATGATTCATGTTTACTCTTATCTCCCTCCAGAGGAAAAGGAAAATGAGAAAATGAGTTTAGGAATATTTTCAGCCTTAGTCCCCATCGGACGAATTTGAGGGAGCTGACCTGCGATTCACTGCTGTGCACAGCATCCGTCCATGCCACACTCCTTTCTCTGATGAGTCAGTGGACCTCACAGACCCAAAGTCTTGAGAATGACCCAACTTCAGCATTTCCCCCTTAAGATTCCTTTGGTGCTCCCTGTAGCCATATTATTTAGTTAGAATTAAAATAAGTTGTGGAGAACGTTCAATTCCTGTAATTCTGCCAATGGAGAAACCTTATTAACCCTGAAATGGCCTAAAAATGGATTCTGCTGAGGTGTCCCTTCTCTCCTGGGGACCCTGGACACTGGTTCTGGGGCAGATCCCAGGGTCAAGGGGCTGTTGGGGTGCAGGGGGCTCCAGGACATGAGCAGGGAGCACACATTCCCGCTGCCTGGAAGAGGAGGATTGTTTTTTCTACAAGGACACCTTTTATTCCTCACCCTGGTGGGGCTGTGCTGTGCTCTCCACTGGGAAGGCAAGGGGCAGAGAATTTCTTCAAGACAATGAGATGGCTTTGCCCTGTGCCACCCCACCTCCACCCCATCCACAGCCCTGCCCTTCACCATTCCCTGACCCTAATACCACCCAGCCACTCCCTGCCCTTAAAACCTCCCCTGCCAGCCCCCTCTGCCATCCCCTGCCCCTGTTTGCACCTCCCACTCCCTGCTCCTAATGCCCCCAGTCATTCCCTGACCCTAAACCTTCTGCCCTGCCACCCCCTACCCCTAAACCTGCCCCCTGCAGCCTCCTGCCCCTAAATCTCACCACAGTCCCCTGTCCCTATCCACACACACCCTCTGCCACGCCCTGGCCTGATCCACTTCCCAAAATCTTGCTCCCCAGCTCCCTTCACCATTCCCTGTCCTATTTGCACTTCTCAGAATCCCTGCCCCTAAATCCCCTAAGCCATCTCTGCCCCATAACCTGTCCCATCCACACACACCTTCCACCACCCTTTTCCCCTAACCTTCCACTGTCCCTAAAACTGCCCCCACCCCTAAACCTCCCTCCCACTCCTCCCTGCCCCAAAATCTCCCCCTTTCTCCTAAACCTCCCCCCTGCAGCCCCTTGCCCCAAAACCTGCTTCTACCCACACTGCCAAGTTCTGTCCCTAAATCTCCACCTTCCCCCACAGCACCCTGTCTGCAAACCTGCCCCTATCCACACATATCCTCCACTTTGCCCTGTCCCTAAATCTTCCACCCCCAAGCCTTCTGTCCCCAAATTTCTCCCACCAGCCTGCTCCACTACCCCCTGCCCTATTTGCATTTCCCCCAACCCCTGCCCCATAGTCTCTTCCTTCTGTCCACATGCCCCTAAACCTGCCCCTATCCACACACGCTCTCTGCCACCTTCTGCCCCTAAATCTCCACCCAGTCCCCTACCCCTAAACCTCCACCCCCTGCCCCTAAAACTGCAGCAATACACCAATCCCCTCAGCCACCTTCTGCCCCTAAACCTTCATCTCCCCACAACCCTCTGTTCCTAAACCTGCCCTTGTCCATAGAAACCCTCCACACACTTTCCCCCTAAACCTCTCCCTCCAGCTCTTGCCCCTACACCCTCTCCCAAACCTCCCTCCCGCCCCGGCAGTGCCCTGCCTGTACCCCCACACACCCTTCTGGCCCCATATGCCCCTAAATCTGCAGTTCCACCTTCTGCCCCTCTCCATACACCTCTGTCCCTAAATCTGCACTCCCACCTTCTGCCCCCTCCACACACACCTCTATGTCCCTAAATCTGCACTCCCACCTTCTGCCCCTCTCTGCACACACCTCTGTGCCCCTAAATCTGCACTCCCACCTTCTGCCCCTTTAGGCACACACCTCTGTGTCCCTAAATCTGCACTCCCACCTTCTGCCCCTCTCGGCACACACCTTTCTGCCTATTTATGCCCCTAAATCTGCACTCCCACCCTCTGCCCCTACACCTCTCCTCCGCAGGCCCATACCCCTAAACATCTCCATGTCCACACTCATCTCCTCAGCTCCCTTATGCCCCTAAACCTCTCATCCACAGCCTCTGCCTCTAAACTTGCCCATGTCCACACTCATCTCCTCTGGCCCCAAACCTCTCCTGTGAAGCCCCCTGCCCCTAAACCTGCCCATGTCCACACTCATCTCCTCTGCCCCCAAACCTTTCCTCCTCAGCCCCTGCCCCTAAACCTGCCCATGTCCACACTCATCTCCTCTGACCCCAAACCTCTCTGAAGCCCCCTGCCCCTAAACCTGTCCATATCCACTCATCTCCTCTGCCCCCTTATGCCCCCAAACCTCTCCTCCGCAGCCGCTGCCCCCAGACCTGCCCACCCACCCTGGGCAGCCCCCGGCCCCTCTCGGGCGCGGGGCGCGGCCGTGACGGGCAGCGCCGCTCCCCGCTCAGCGCCCGCGCAGCCCCCGCGCCGCACCGCCCCCTCCAGCCCCTTTGTATCCAACATCCGGGTTTCCCCGCTGGCTTCTCCCTTTTTTTAGAAGCCATTTTGGACGCGGTTCAGTTTTTTTTTTTTTTTTTAATTATTAAAACAAAACCCCAAAACAACAACAACAACAACATCAAACCCCATCCAACCTCCCTTTCCCTCCCCCCTCCACGCTGTGGGATTTTTTAAAAAATTTTCCTCTCCCTCCTCCCCATCCCGCACATGGCACCTCCCGCCGCGCCCCCGCGCCCGCCGCCCCGCGCAGCCCCGCGATGCCGCGGCCCCCGCCGCTTCCTCCTCATCCTCCTCCTCCTCCTCCGGACCCCGCGGCCGCTCCGCGCCCCCTCCGCCGGCCCTTGCCTGCCGCTCCGCAGCCTCCCGCGATGCGGGGTCCGTACAAACCGCGCACGGTCGCGCTCCTGCCGCCGGCCGGGGAGGAGGAGGAGAAGGAGGAGGAGGAGGAGGAGGAGGATGAGGAGGAGGAGGAGGAAGAAGAAGGGGGGGGATGCGCGCGTGTGTGCGGGGGGAGCGCGCAACGCGCGCGCGGCTGCGCGGGCACTGCGCGGGAAGCGGCGGGGGAGGGGGCGGGTGCGCGCTCGCCCCTCGCTGCCGGGGGAGCCGGAGGGGCTGGGCTGGGAGGAGGAGGAGGAGGAGGAGGGGGAAGGGGAAGAGGAGGCGGAGGAGGAGGAGGAGGAGGGGGAGTCGGTGTGTGGTGCACGCCGCGCTCCCAGCACAAAAGCCCAGGGAAAGAAACTCTTGGAAAGCTGGGAGCGAGCGGTGGGGCCGGGCAGGAGCAGGTCGAACCGTCCGGGTCTGTTCGTCTCCACTGGATAAATTTTGCAGCTGCGAAGGAATTAAATCCTATTTTCTTCTTCTTGTTGTTGGTTTTTTTTTTTCCCACCCCCTGCCCCCAAGATTTTTTTCTTCTTTTTCTTTTTTTTTTTTCTTTTTGAGAGCGAGAGGGAAGGCAGAGCAGCGCTTCTCCCCCCGCTCATCTTTTCACGCGCTCGATCTTTTTATTTTTATTTTTGTTTCCCTTGGGGTAGAGGTGCACGCAAGGAAAAAAAAAAAAAGTAAAGGACTATGTTTGCTTCGTGGCTGACTTTCGCCGTGCTCTGGGGAACTTTCTGTGCAGGTAAGAACCTTTCGGCGTGTTTACCTCCCGCTCGGGCTCTCGGTCGCGTCTCCAAATGCAGAATTGAATGGGCCGTGCGGTTATTTGCAGCCACCCTCCAGCACCCTCCGAAGCAAAGCACCCGAGCTGGGGAATCCCCCCACCGCTGCATCGGCTTCATTTCCTTTATTATTCTTCTTATTATTATTATGGTTTATTTTTCTTTTCACTCCCTCTCCCTCCCTCTCCGTTTTCTCCCTGCTCGCAGGACGAGCCTTCCCGTGCTGCTTTTTGTTCCCTCCAGGCAGCCTGTGGGAATTCATGGCAATGTAAACACGGCGCGATCTCGAGGAAACTTTGCAAAAATGGGCATTTACTTCTGGGAGGGGGCGTGGGGGAGAAGCCGAGGATGTTGCTGGGGGAGGGGGACAAGTTGGGAGCAGCGGGAGGAGCGCTGGGGTCCCTCCGGAATGGTGCGGGGTCTCTCAGGTAGTGGCCATGTGTGCGCTCCGCTCCTGCCGGGCTGCGGTTGTGTAACTCGGGGGGGTGTGCGGGACTCCCCCTCCACCACGAAGGTCCCCCCCGATTCCCCGTCTGTCCCCCGGGACCCGCGGTCCCGTAGGGATTAGCACGGACCGAGCCTATTGGGACTGGCTGGCTCCGCGGGGAGAAAGTTGGGAAAAAGGGGGTGTGTGCGGCGGGGGCTGCCTGGGGAGCATCCCTCCGGAGGAGGATTCTGCGGCGGAGGAGGGTGCTTATTTGTATCTTCTTCATCCCGTTTATTTTACGGACATGGACTACAAACTTCATCTCCAACCTGCGCGGTGCGCGTCGTGCCGAGGGACGCGGGTGGAAGTTCGCCCAAAGCCCGAGCACGGCCGGGGGATTTGGAGGGGACACCCGGGCATAGCTCGGGGAGGTGGGCAGGGGTCTCCATGGGGTGCCCCATCCCGCAGCCCTCGAGGGGGCGGGAGCGGCCGGACCCGCCGTGCTGCCCCCAGCACCTGAAAACGCGGGCACGCTGGAAATCCCCGCGCTCCCCAATTTACCTCCTTGTTTTTATTATTCCTTATATTATTAGTATTATTTCCTCTATTCTGTCCTGTTATCGCTGCATTTTCCTCAGGAGAAGCCGGTGCGGCAGCAATTTTGCCTTCCCCTCTTGCCTGGTCACCACGATCCCCCCAGGGCTGAGCCCCCCGCCCCGGCTGCGGGCAGTGACTTGTTCCGATCCTTCCACCGCCCATCCCGGGAGCTGCGGGGACCAGGGAGGGGTACGGGGCGGGTGCTGGGGGGGCTGTTTGTGGCCGGGGGTTCCCGGGGGCAGCGTGCGGGAGGCAGCGATGCTGCGGCCGTGCCCGCTCCGCGCTGGGCAGCCGGGGAGTTCCCGGCGGCTTTGCCATCACCCATTGTGCGGGTGGGGGGCAGGGGGGGTTTCCCCGCGTGTGCGTGGCCGTGGCCGGGTCCCCGGGTGTCCGGGGAAGGCGCTGCCCGGCGGGGCCGCGGGGGGAGCCGGCCCCAGGGCGCTCCTGCAGCCGGGCTTCCTTTGTTCCGAGTGCCCATTAAATATGCGCTGCCACCGCCTGCCTCTGCCATTGCCGCCGGTGCCAGCGCTTCATTTATTTTTTTTTAAGTCACACCGAAAGTGCGTGCGAGCGGCAATTAAAAAAAAAAAAAAAAAA